TTCCTCCCCTGCTGCCGAATTTCCAGGCGTTGGCTCAGGCAGCAGGATGCTATTGAAATGGCTCCCAGTCACGGTGCTACCCCGGCAGGGGCTGGAGCCACAAGCCCTTTAAAGAGCCAAAGAAATGCCAAGCAACAGCCAAGCTGCGAGCCTGTGTGTGTGTTTCATTCCAAAAGCCTCTGGCCCCAGACAGCTCTGGGGGGAGCTAGTCCACCCCAGAAGGGCAGGGCTGGGAGGCCAGCTTGTACCAAAATTCGTTAAGTGGCCCCGTGACAGTTACTGCCCACTCTTGGGCTAGACAGGCTGTGGCCCTGTGCCGCCCCGGGGCTGACTGTTCACATAATGCCCTGCCCGGGCACGTGGCTACGGGTTCCCTCCAGCACATCAGAACGGCCGTACTGGTCAGACCAAAGGTCCACCTAGCCCAGTAGCCTGTCTGCCGACAGTGGCCAGCACCAGGGGCCAATGATCACGCGATTTGTCTCCTGCCATCCCTCTCCAGCCTCTCACAGACAGAGGCCAAGGACACCATTTCTATCCCCTGGCTAATAGCCTTTTATGGACCTAACCTCCATGAAATTATCCAGCTTCTCTTTAAACGCTATGATAGTCCTAGCCTTCACAGCCTCCTCTGGCAAGGAGTTCCACAGGTTGACTACACGCTGTGTGAAGAAGAACTTCCTTTTATTAGTTTTAAACCTGCTCCCCATTAACTCCATTTGGTGTCCTCTAGTTCTTCTATTATGGGAACTAATAAATAACTTTTCTTTATCGGCCCTCTCCACACCACTCATGATTACGTTGTGATAGTCCTAGCCTTCACAGCCTCCTCTGGCAAGGAGTTCCACAGGTTGACTACACGCTGTGTGAAGAAGAACTTCCTTTTATTAGTTTTAAACCTGCTCCCCATTAACTCCATTTGGTGTCCTCTAGTTCTTCTATTATGGGAACTAATAAATAACTTTTCTTTATCGGCCCTCTCCACACCACTCATGATTACGTTGCACTGAAGCCGGACTTCCATTTGCTTGCATCTTGCCCATTTTCCTGGCTTGCCCGGGTCTCTGGAATGCCTCCGTACCCGCCCGCCCCAAAGAACAGCACCCTTCGCAAATTTAGCTTCCTTGCTGCTCACCCCCCTTCCGGCTGGTTTAGGCATTACAAGCCATGGGCATGAGGAGCGTGCTGGGGACAGCGAGCTGTGACTGGGCCAAGCCAGCTCCTCCTCCCTCCCCAAGAGCCCTGGCGTCGCTCACCCGTCCTTGGTGCTCTCAGTGAACCAGTACTTGTAGAGCTGGGCTCGGATGTAGGCAGGCGGCTGCGCGCTGAATGGGTATTTCGTTTCGTCGATCTGTACCAGGTGGATCACTGCCAGGACAGAGGAGTTAGCACAGGGCCCCAGCACCCCCGGGTCCAGGCTGCTCACCCTGCCCAGGCGCACTAAGCTGGAGCCTGGTGATCTCACATTAGGGTTTCTAGCCCTCAGCGCTGCACAGGGAAGCTTGAAGACCACGGCTCCCGAGCAGCCAATGCAGCAGCCTTGAGCGGAGCCTGGGCCGAACGCGCCAAAGCGAGTCAACTCCAATGACAAGGCAGTTAACCCCCCGCCCCGCTGCTGGGGGAGCCTAGCAGAAGGGGCATGCGCTACCCCTGCCAGCCACAGGGCTCACCCCAGGAGGCCCCTTGCTGCCATCCAAGGGAGCCTGGCTTCCCAGGTTTGGGACTGCCTTAGCACAGGCACGCTCTGGCAGCCCTGCCCGACACGGGGGAGGCAGGGCAGGAAAGCAGCAAGACACAGAGCTAGCCAAGGCGGCTAAGAGGTAAGCAGGGACTGGCAAATAAGACAGACTGCTCATGTCAGCCCCGACCCACAGCCCCGGCCTGCCCTCAACCCGCAGCGACTAGCCTGTCGCAAGGCAGAGTGATGCCTGGGCGGACGGCATCAGGCGAGTTAACCGGGTGAGCGGCTGAGTGCAAGGTGAGAGCACCGCCCCAGCCCAACCCAGGGCAGCTGGGTGAGCACAGCCCCACGGCCTCACCGTCTTTCTTGCCCTGCAGCAGGCGATAGACGAAGCTGGTGAACCAGGGGCTCTGACTGTGGTGCCCCAGGGCCGCAAACCACATCTGGGTGGGGGAGCACCACAGGAGGGGCGGCGCTGACGTTCCCCGGCTTGTACATGAACTCGATCTCCTGCAGGGACAGAGGGGAAATGGGGAAACCGGTCTCTGAGCTGCTGCCTCACCCCATGGGGCTTGACTTGTCCCTAAATGCAGCTCCCTCTGGGGTGGGACGCAGCAGCTGCACCTCCAGAGCACGTCACTCCGGTTAAAGCCCCTCAGACCTGGGACCCCAGGAGGGTACTTCTACTGCAGGGAACAAAGTCAGCCAGCTCTGCCAGGCACCAGTGGGGCGAACGAGGTCTGTCTGTCAGCGGCTGGGAGAAGGGGTAACCTCCCCCTCTTCCAGCACCTCCCCCACATATTCCCCCCCTTTGGGGAGAAGCTACAGCAACTGTGCGAGATGGGGGTGTTACCGTCCATTTCTCCTTGTCGTAACTTCCTTCCACCACCACCTCCGGCCGGCCCCCGACCCCCGTCATCCGGCGGAAGAGCCCGTACGAGTTCACCAGCTGGTAGCGGTCAACAGCCCCGAACATCTGGTGGATGCCGGGCCACAGCTTTCCGTTCGACTCGTACTCAATGTAGGTAAAGGGGACCTGGGAGGCAGCAGAGAACGGGCCGGCTCAGTCACCCCGTGCAACTGGTACAGGGCGGGGAACGCAGCAGCAGGCTGCCTGGCCCTGCCCAACCCAGGCCACAACGCAACCCTGGCTGGCGTCCGCAGCAGTCAATCCCCAGGACTTCCCACCCCGAGCCCCGTGGGGCCAGCACTGCACAGGGCAGAGTGCCAGGCAGTGCTGGGAAGATGGAGCTCTGCCGTCACCTTGGGGCATCACCGAATCACTCCTAATCTGCCCAGCCACAGTCTGACTCCCTGCCCAGGGCGGGCCACATGCTGGGCCACATGGCTTTTCCCAGACTCCAGTCAACCCTCCTGCACCAATGGCCCTTCCAGAATTGAGGCTGCCTTAGAGACAAGCCTGACCAGGGCGGCGCTCCCCCCGGCAGCATTCACAGGTGGTTCTGCCCTGCTGCACTGGCATGGCCCTCTGCTGCGCCTCAGCGTGTGGGCCTGGATCCAGGAGCCCGAGCTGGAGGCTGCAAGGGGTAGGCAGCATGACCCAGTCCCCAGGGGGTCCTATTCCGCCCCCTCCCACATACCCAGGGACTCTCCTGCCTCAAGGCACAGCCTCAGCCTGTATTGCAGCTGCTGCTGCTTTCCCCTGGAGTGCCCAGCCCCCTGCCAGCTCGGGCTTCGGAGAGGGTGGTGCGGGAACCGTATTAGCCAGCCTCCACAAGACAACAGACTCTCACCATCCTGCCCACTCACCAGGCTGACAGTAAACATTCCCACTGCGGCGGCAGCAAAGACAGCCCATTGCAAAGTAGCCCAGAGCTTCCAGGGAAAGCCCCGGACGCAGGCACACCTGTGGGCGAGGGAGGAGAGGGAGGTCAGGGGAGGAGGCCCATCCCCCATACTGAAGGGCAGAGCTGGGGAAGGGGCTGCAGACCCTGTTCACCCATCCGTTGCCAGCACAGCCATTGTGTAGCATGCAGCAGGCGAGCTCTCCTGGAGTGCAGGAGCTCACCAGGGCCTCTCCCCGGCCCCAGGAGGGGCAGAGGCCGATGGGCTCTCCCACAACACCCTGCAAGTGAACTCAGAGCGGCAGAGATTCCTGCAGCCCAGCGAAGTGCCACAGAGATCTGCACCCACGTGCTGTGCTCCGTTGCCAGCACAGCCATTGTGTAGCATGCAGCAGGCGAGCTCTCCTGGAGTGCAGGAGCTCACCAGGGCCTCTCCCCGGCCCCAGGAGGGGCAGAGGCCGATGGGCTCTCCCACAACACCCTGCAAGTGAACTCAGAGCGGCAGAGATTCCTGCAGCCCAGCGAAGTGCCACAGAGATCTGCACCCACGTGCTGTGCCATGCCAGTGCCGACAGCGGCTCAGCCGCCCCGACCCAGCCTAACCGCAGGGAGAGTGCAGACAACCGGAGCTACCTCCGCAGGGAGAGACCCTGCATGGCCTGAGGCAGTGGGCAAAGGGGTCAGCGCACCTGTGCCGCATTAGCCCTTGAGCCTCCCTGGCAGGACTCACCCAGGGCAGCCGGCAGCCACAGCACTGACTCGGGGCCTGACTGCAGATGGTGTGGACCACGCCAACAAGTGGGGATGTTGCTAGTTAACCGGTGAGACTCACCCGTAACAGGCAAGGCTTTTAACCAGTGCGGCCCCCTGCCAGCCGCGTCATCTGTTAGCCGGTTCAACTGAAAGCTTAATTAAACCGGATTTTACATCCCTACCAACAACCAGGCTCCTGTCCTCAGAGCCAGAGCCGTGGGGATCCCAGAATTGCCCCAGGCAGACAGCCTGGCCCCCTGAGCAAAGGGGTGCCAGCTCCCTCCATGTGCCAGCTCCAAGTCATGTGCCATCAGCTGTGCATGGATTGGTGCCCTGTTCTGCCCCTCCCTACGGCAGGGAGGGACAGCTTCCTCCAGCATCAGAAGGGGAGGAGACAGCAGAGGACTACCCCTCAGGTTCGGAGGCACAGAGCCTGCCCCAGCTAGTGACCCTGGCTGTCCCGGGAACGGGACTCACCTGTACAGGGCATAGATGATTTCCCAGGCCAGGGAGAGGAGGCTCAGTCCCACAATAGGGAGAGTCACCGTCTTCAGCCACTGGATGAAGTCATGGTAAGTGAAAGCTGGAGGAGGTAAGAGTACAGGAGTCAGCGCCTGGGCAGGGAAGTAGGGGACCCACACATCAGCCCTTCCTCCAGGAAGGAGTGCAGGTCAGACGACCCAGAGGCACTAAGGAGTCCATAGGCAACAAGGGTCGCTAAGCCGAAGGCATCAGGCTCTCCAGGACACATGCCAGCCTTTGCCATCGGCTAGAGGGAGAGGGTCTGGCAGCCAAGTGGCTACGCCCCCCTCAGTGAAGCGCTGAGAGCCTGCCTGGATGGTAGCTGGGCCAGGCGCTGCTCAAGATTACGTCTTGCCAGCGTTTCTCCTGGCAGCTGCAGACACCAGAGGGGAATCACAGAAGACCTAGGATAGCAGCTAGAGGGCACATTCAGCACCCGCCTGTGGGCAGTGCGCGCCACCCCACCCTGCAGTAAGGGGAGGAAGCTCCGCACCTGTTTTGGATTCAATCAGCTGCTTCTCCCAGTTGAACTGCAGGCCGAAGTCCTGGATGCTCCAGTAGATGAGTAGCCCATAGACCATCAACTCCAGCAGCGTGGAGAGGACAGACACCAGGCTGGGAGGCCAGGCTGCAGGGCAGGGGAGGAAGGAAGAGGAGTTACAAGGGCTGAGTGGAACGATTACACGGTGCTGTTTGCTGCAGTCGGATACAGCAGCTCCAGCAGAAGCAGAGTTGTGCCATGGGAACCCTGTTCAGCTGTTGGCTTTGACACCCAATGGTGGCTGTTTGACTAGCAGAGTTAATGCTCCTTCCATCCTTCAACAGGCATCTCCACAGACCCAGCCGATACCCCAGACAGCAAGGAACTTGCTACCTAGAGCAGGCACTCAGCTGCCCCAGAGAGCCTGGGATCTAGAAACACCACACACTTAACAGCGCTCACATCAAGCAAGGCCTCTCCACCAGAGGAGGATGTTGCATTATGGAACAAGCCACACTAGTAACCTGAGAGAACTTTCTTCAATCCAGAAAAAGCCCTGAGCACACCCCTCTCGGGGTCTTCCCTCACCCACCCAGGTAGCAATCACTACCCTGACCCCCATGGGGACCCCCATTCCCAAAGGAAGTTTCCATCCTTATTCTCCCCCTTTCAAACACGCTTCTGGTGACAAGGTTAGGGGCAAGTTCCCTGCACGCCAACGGGCACCAGGACAACCCATGCAAAACCTGCAGCCATAGCTGCACTGCTACAAACGGCACCTCCCTCCCATCACACCACACAGTGCACCTCATCCAGTGCATCACATGCCACAGCAGCTATCATCATACTCCAGTGAGCTCATGGAGAAAAATAAGACAAGACCTCCTGTCACGCACACGGAACATTTCCAAAGCGATCCCTGCGTATCTGCCCTCACAGGAAGCCCGCACAGCCTTTCCCGACGAGGAGCCTGGGCGTTCACACTCAGAACGCTGCGCGACACTAACGAATCCTGAAGTCAGACATGCGAGTGCTGAACCTCATGCCGACAACTGGCGACCTGCTACCTAACTGCAGAGGTGCTGGGCAGGTCTACGCAGAAACCCTGCTGGAGCAGCTGTGGCGTGGACGCCATCCAGGCCAACACGAGCCATCAGCATGGGCCATCCACCTCCCTGAGAGGTGGTGCTAGCCCAAGGGAAGAGCTCTCCCGCTGGCCAAGCGCTGACTGCCCTGGAGTTAGGCAGGCATTGCTATGTATCTCCACGCTCCCGAGACGTAGCTACGCCAGGTGAAGTTCCCACTGTGGACCAAGCCTGAGCAGCTCAAAGGCATCTCTTGGGCTGAATCACCTGCGAGCGACAGACCATCTCACCCAGCTTCTCGCCATCCTTTTAGCAGACATGCTGCCAACGTGCTTCTCACACGCTAGTCTGTGCTCTGGAGAGACGGAGCCCCCCGAAAGATAACGGGGAGGCAATTTATAAACATCCCAGGCGAGTCTGCTACAGGATCTCCTGTCTGCACAGGGCAGCGCCCCCTTGCCACGGGACAAGCTCTTTGCACAGCACTTGAAAATGCTGCCAAGGGGTCCCTCTCCCCCACCGCCCCGGAACGGCATGGCCGATATCTGCCCCCACGGACTCACCGCTGGCAGGCCGCTTCTTGCTGCGCCCCAACCACAGCCCCACATGCTCGTCGTCCAGCAGCGAGAAGCAGAGGACGATGGTGAGCAGGTTGAAGAAGTTGTAGTTGCCTGTGATGATGATCAGCAGCTGGAGCAGGACCTGCGGCGGAGGGCGGGAACTCAGAGCCACAGCTAGAGTCCCACAGGGGCATCCCGTGCAGGCCTGGCATCCCCAGCACCCCCTTCCCTGAGCCCGGAGGGGAGGGGAAGTGCCAAGAGAACAGCTCCCCCCCCCCCCCCCCCCCCATGGAAGAGTCTTGCTCCTGCAGGGCAGCAGCCCTACACTAGCTCAGCCTGCGGAGGGTTAACAGAGATCCACACGGCAGCACAGCCACCCCCGTGGCTGGCACCAGCAGCGGAAGGGGCAGGGTGGGGGTGTGAGGCATAGGAGGGGCAATGGAGCCCCACTTTGCCAGGAGAAGGAACCATCTTGCTTGTAAGCGGCACCCTTCAGTCTGAGGGGGTGCACTGGCATTTGACTAGCATGAGCCTGCAATGCAGGATGGGAACAGGAGTCCCGTGGCACCCTCTTGGGTGTGCGACAGGAGACCAAGAGCATGCTCTGAACTCGTGGCTCTCACGGGGCAACATGCAGGACGAGCACCGGGCCCGAGGCCTCTTGCCTGTTCCCGCCCAGGGGTGCAGCACCTACCTGGCAGTAGAAGGCGAAGAGGCGGAGGCGGCGGATGGGGGAGAAGAAGAGCAGGGGGACAGCGATCTCGATGACGTACGTAGCCACCACACTGAGCTTCTGGAACCACACGGGGAGCTGGTGGGCAAACCACGCAGCCGGCGTGGGGATGCACTGGGTCTCGTAGTGATAGGTCAGGGCTGGGGGAGAGTGGGAGCAGGGCCACAAGGGAATACATTAGGCACAGGCAGGGAAGCAGCCAGGCCAGGCCTATGTGGGGACAGAAGCCAGGCAGGGCCAGCTGACCCACAAGCGGCACACAATGCTTAGTGCTACCCTACACAGGCCACAGGGATTGCACGGCAGTGTGTCTGCTGGGAGGCCTGGGGCAGGAACCCCTGCCAGTGTCTGGAAACTGCAGCA